TATGTAACTTTTTTGGGGACACCCTGTAAAACTCTATATTTTATAAAAAGTGCTCTGAATTAACCTACATATGCTCAAAAAATTTCATTTCAATACAAACTGTCGTTCTCCTTGGAGCCTCCACGGCGTATGAGAGGCGCCGCCCTGTATATGATATGTCATTCTATTTAGAGTGTCATTTTCTATCAAATAAAGTAAAAAAAAAATATCGAAGGTGTTCTTTAAAAATGAAAAGTTGTAGTCGTTTTCGGTGAAACATGAACTGACCGAAAACAATTGAATACGTCAATCAATCCTGATGTACAGGGTGTCCCAGGCTGAGCCTGTATTACAAGTTTCTAGAGAACTATAGTCTGTCCAACAAGAAGATCCTTGACAGTGATAGATGTGTCTGTCATTTTAATTTCAAACTAGTTTATTTTATTTTACAAAGAAATAAGTTGGTACAACTGGAACGCATAGCAGGAAATATTTAAAATTTGATTGACAAGATGACAAGTGATTACTTCAAAATTGTATAAAACTGAAAAAATGTAATCGAGTTATTTTATTTAATAAAAACGGTATGTGTTAATACAAAACAAACAAGAACAAGGCACTACATACCAAAAAAATATAAAAAATAACTATTATTTACTTTCAAGCTTTATGAAACTACCCGCATTTATGATTATATTTATCAATATAACTTATGTACAAATACAAATTTGTAATATTCCACAGGTATAAATAAAACAACATAGGTAAATACAACAACTATTTTATTAATAATAACACCTACCAAATTTTATACCTTAAAGGTGGATTAATTACCTTTAATCTTAATTTTTTTAAACCAGTACCTTTTGACATTATTTTTCTGCACCAGTACTAAAATCCATTATTTACCTATCGTGTGATGTCGATATTTTACAGCTACTCCAGTTTTTAGTATGTGTTTAGTTTGATCCTTATATACGAAATGCACTTATCTACGACGAAATGGTATACAAACTTTATCGATGGCAACTTCATTGGTGTATAAGACTTTCTGCCTGGGCAGCGTGTATTAACCATAAACTGTGCTCTGGGCCTACAGTTAATTTTCACTCGATTTTTCCTCCACTTGACTTCAAAAGACACAAAACACACGTAATAATACGAATCAAAATGCATCATCTTTCAAAATGCAGGGTATTTAACAAAAGTTGACACAAAATTATAACCAATAATTTGGCAAGACTTTGACAAGCGTCAAAAATGACAAAAATCTAAAGGCGAGTTCATACGCATCGGCGTCCGTTTGTCGTTCATCGTTCCGTCAAACCAATAAAATTGAAATACGATCTGTCATTTTTAAATAAACCAATAAAACTGGTTAAAAACAACAAGACACGACGCATGACGGATTTATATTTAAACCCATCCATAGATAACTTAAAAATGATTAGAAACTTTTTTTAGTAAAATAAATAGATTGGTATGGGACGTCATCTGCTTTTCTTCTGTCATCGTCTGTCGAAATCTTACCTGAGAAAAAAAACAGAGTATACAAGTACTACAACATCTAGATCGGAGATTTTTTGCACATCATTGTTTCACAATGAGATCTATCAAAAAAAAAAATTTCAATATGGCGGCACTTCCGGAAATGTCCGGTTTTAAAACTGAATCTTAAATAACTTAAAAACGATTTATTTTAGGTATAGGAACGTATATAGAAGCGTATATTTTCCTACTTTTTTACCAGTAGCCTATGACTTTAAACGTCAAGCGATGTAAAACTATATATGGCCATGCCATAATGCCATTAGATATCACTGAAATACGAGATATAATTTTGTAAATACACTTTATAAAGTTTTAGCAGCAGTATTTATAATATAGGAAATTCAAATAATTAATTTAATTTTTTGACAGAAGGAAATAAACTGTCTGATGGTCTGATACTTAATGTCAAAGGAAGCTAGACAAAATTACGCTTTAATACTATAACTTAAATAACTTAAACACGATTTATTTTAGGTGTAGATAATCAAAAAGTAACGAATTGAAAATCCCCCCCCCCTTAAATCCCTTGCTCTAATAAAATCAAAAAAGTGAGTTTCCATTTGAAAAACCAATTACCAATTGATTGACAGCTACGGCCAATATTATATGACATTCGAACAATTTAATTTTTGAAATAGATAGCCACATGTCTTCACTTTATGTCACAGTGGCTGTGGTAATCACTAAATTTGACGTTTAAGTTATACAAATTTTTTTGATAGGCAGTTTTTTTTCTCCAAATATTTTAAATATTTTTTTTCTCAAAAACGGTTAATGTTAGGTATAGAGTGTTTATATCAAAATATAAAATAAAAATCTCTGTAAAATTCATATAATTTTACAGAGAATTTAAATACGTTATAAAAAATCGGGGTCCCCATTTAAAATAAGAAAGTTGCTACCAACTTCCGGTATTTTCGGAAGTGCTGCCATATTGAAAATATTTTTAATTGATAGATATCATTGTGAAACAATGATGTGCAAAAAAATCTCCGATCTAGATCTTGTAGGTCTCTAAAAACTTCTAATGCATGTTTAGCCTGGGACACCCTGTATATTAACTAACGTGAAGATATACATATACTAACGTACCATATCGTATTTTTTTTTCTAGAAAATTAAAAACTTAAAACTTATAACTTATTTATTATAAATATATATATATATATATATATATAAATTAAAATATAAATTAAAAACTTATACTTCTGTAGCACGCGGTATGTATTTATATTTTTTAAATATCATGTCGTAAGATATTAGTTAATTAAAACTTCATTCACACAGAACCTCGCAATTAGTGGAATAATTTTTAAGTCATACATATGAGTTGTAAATCAATGTTTTTAAATGAACTGTTGCCAAAATCTCTCAGAATTAGTGATGAACGAGAAAAAGAAAACCCAAAACGAAGCCGAAAAAATAATCACGGTTAAACTGGTCTTGGGATTTAATCACTTATCTAAACAAAATTTATTCGAAAAATTAGATTAGCTGATTGGTCCATTTCACGATGAGGGAAATAATCAAAGGCCAAAACGACATTTCTCGCAAATTTTGAAGTATAATTAGTGGAAAAGTTAAAAGTTTGATAACTTTTTCTACTAATTGAAAACGTCTACCACTAATTTTGACGTTCTGAATGATTACATTCAAATTAAAGGAACAAACTTCTATTGAATTGAAACCCCTAATTTATTTCACTAATTGCGAGGTTTTGAATGAAGCTTAACAATTTAAATAACCCAGGAAAATTGGAAGAAAAACATAACGGGCATTGAAGAACGGTAGACACCTCGATTAAAAGTTGGTCTACTTGAAGAGGATATTCCCAGAAAAAAACATTTTTATTGATAAACTTAAATGGTTGATTGGTAAACTTCCTCGACTACCATTAGAGAAAGTCATTCTCATTGATATATGAGTTTCTTCTTAGAATATTTTTCCTTTAGTTGGAATAAATACATTAAGAGAAAATACTAAATTCCATGTCAACTAAGTAAGTCCTTTAAACATAATATATTCTAAGTGAGATTTGAAACCAAAATCGCGAAAGAATGACCATCTAGAGAAATAATTTTCGTTACCGCTTTAAATGTTAACCGCATTTAAATAGTAGCGAATATAGATAGTTTTGGCCTGCCTTTAAACTTGTATAAAAATTAAAAATAAAATATTTGGTACACCGGGTGATATACTATACCGGGTGCGTCTCAAAAGTGGCTCACCCCTATAGATTTGGTTAGGTTAGGTTGTAATATACTACCAAATCTATAGGGGTAAGCCATAATATTAATGTGATATTATGACATTAATTAGGATTTATTGACGTATTCAATTAATTGATTTCGGTCACTTCCTGTTTCACTGGAAATTACTACAACTTTTGATTTTTAAATCGATGTACTTAAACAGCCGTTAAACGGTAGCCTACTAAAATGCCGTTAATATATATTGTGACGTCGTTCATGTCGGCGGAAAGTAATGCCTACCTATAAGCATTTTGCAAGAGCACCTGTGGCTCCGTGGCTGATGCTATCCCTTCGTGAGCGAATGGTCCGTGGTTCAAATCTCACGCCGACCAAGACTTTTTTATATTTTTTTTTGCTTATAGCGAGATCTTATTGCATTGGTTTCACTCTTTTTGGTTGGATTGGTTTAGTTATTTGGCGGGTTGGTTAGCGTGGTTATTTGGACGGTGTTAATTCATGGGTCAGTTGGTTATTTGGTGGGGTTGGTTGGTTTTTACTAATTTATATTTGTTTTTTATATTTTTTTATCAGTGTCGAGGTTAGTTGCATTGGTTAAGTTGGTTATTTGGTGGGGTGGATAGCGTTGGTTAGTCCTTATAAAATTCCTATATTTCATAAAGCCGTCAAGTGCGTCACATCAACGACGTCATACCTATTAACGGCATTTTAGTAAGCTACCGTTTAACGGCAGTTTAAGTACAGCCTTTTTAAATGGCACCCTCGGTATTTCTTGTTACTTTATTCGATAGAAAATGACACTCTTAATGGAATGACACATCATATGTCAACTTTCGACATTTTTTTAGAATATGTTTTATTTGATATTGCAACATGCAATTCATAACGACAATTTGACTCGAAATACCTAGTGTGTGGTACCAACTTATTAGTAAAAAATGCTTTTTTGCAATATGTTAATGAGCCATTCTTGTTCCATTTGAAAAAATGAGATGTGATTAAAAATACCATTTGGACATCTTTTAACCGGCTAGGACAGGACACTAAAAATATTAGACGATCAACTCTATTTTTCCAAGGCTTTTAGCGAACACAAGTATCGATTATTGATATTTTTTTATGCACTTGTGGACTCATTCTACACATAGAACCTAGCATATAGAAACTCTAGTTCTCTATCTCTATCACAAGTTATAATAACGTAATCAGCTTCTGGTGTACGACATTAAAATAATATTATTTAAACATTAAAAAACTTACGTTGCTACCTCTTCCTAAACTGGAAGGCGGACCAGCAACAACATAGATTTGAGGAGCAGCTGATGTTCCGTGTTTACCCATCAACCATGAAGATACGATAGCGTGGCTTCTATGCATGTTGAGATTATCCTATAAATAATAGTGTTAGGAATACAAATTCTAACTTGCTCTAATTCTACTTACTTGATAATAATCTTCATTTCTTCTGAAACATGGACAAAGTTCTCTTGAACTGTTGTACGACGCTATAACAGCAACCATGCATTCTAAACTTGAGATTATTACAAGGGTAATATTGTACATGATTCCCTTGTGGTTTTGTGAAATCTCCATAGAGAATTTTTCAAAACTTGACATGCCCTAAAAGAAGAATGGAAAACATATTACCTTGTATCAAATCATTCTCATTTTATTGAGGCACTATTAAAATATTTACTATATTGCTTTAATTAAATACCAAATGCATTTAAATTTTAATGAAATAATAAATTATTTACAATCTTATATAAAAATAGGTTTAAGTTTAAAACAAAATTAAAAATCAAACAGTTTACTTAAACAATTATTTGAAAAAACTTTCGTTGAGGTAAACATTATGAAATTAGAATAAGAAATTATGATGGTTTAAAGAGCGCTTTGGTTTGGAAAGTTTTTTATAAATAACTAGTTGAAAAATATTCAGGCTAAAATACTGCAATAATGCAAATATTTTTTGTTTTATATTGTATAATGGTAATTACTCATAATTTATTTATCATATATGATAATAACTTCATATTTTAATGATGGATTTTATAACTTTTGATATAATATAATGATCCAATAATAATAATTGGTGTGGGTATTACACAAGGTGGTCCGAACTGTATTCGGGAAACTTCGGCAGAATATTCTGCAGATAAAAATATGTAAAAAGGTTTGTATAAATTTCTGTCCTGAAATGCTTCGTTTCGGAGATACAGGGTGTGGTGTTGAAGTTTCATTTTTATTTTGGATTTTTCCAAATAATTTCTGAACTAACGTCAATATTTGGATGGAAATGGTGTCTGGGTGTTTTTTGACATGAGAAATTTGATTTCGAAATCAATATGACTCCTACTTGTCGGGGTAGCCACCTACATGTTTTTAAATCGTTTGAAGAATACTACTACTGCCATTACTCGCTGACGAGTATTTAACACGCATCAGAAGATTGTCAGGCAATGCGTTTTCTTTCATGAGCTTTTCTGTGACTGAAAAGCCCGATAAACGTGCGATGTTAACTGTCTACCGCACTCCGGCCATTCAAAAATCTCATTGCTTTGTTGCCTCTTTACTTTTTGGTTGTCGCTGTTAACTGAGTTTACAATTCTTCTCCAATGAGTTTTATTATGTGCTGCTCCTTCCCACTCATTCTGCATGTTAATCCCCTTTAAGTTTTCATGGAAAATGTCCTTGTACCTTTTGAGTTGTCCACCCGGCCTCCTCTTACCGTCTACAAGCTCACCGTGAAGCAGAAATTTTGGTATGCAGTTTTCTTGCATTCTGCAGACGTGATCAGCCCATCTTAAGCGGGATTTTGTCACCATGACTCCAATACTCTCGCAGTTACCTTTTTCAAGGACCGATAAGTTTGAGACATGATGAAATCATTTGAATCTTAAGAGTTGTCTAAGGTGCCTCTGTTGCAACTTGTTTAATGCGTTCATGTGTCGGCGGTACGGCACCCAGGTTTCGTTCCCATACAACATGGTGGGGATTATTATTGCTCGGTACACTGCAAGTTTCGTTTTTGTGCTCAAGTCATGATTGTAGAAAACCCTGTCTTTTAATTTCCAGAATCTAATCTTGAGAATTTAATCTTGAGGCGCTGCTAATCCTGTGCTGAATTTCAGAGACGATATTGGCTTTTTCCGAAATCAAACTGCCGAGGTAATTGAATTCCGCTACATATTCCAATAGTTCTTCTCCGATTATTATAGCATTGTTGTGATCTTCTGGGGGAGTGCACATGATTCTATTTTTGTCGATGTTTAGCTTAAGACCCAAAGCCTCGTATGCCCACCTGGGGTGTTGAAGATACATACCTATGTGTGTTCAACATTTCTTGTAATTGCTGTGACGTTTTTGTAACTAGAGCGCAATCATCATCAGCGTATATAAGTTCTGAATATATTGACTATTTCGATCCCAAATATCTTGAGAAAAAAATGACGGAAATGTACATTTTTAACTTAGTAGTGTAATACAAGTACCGACGAAAAGTTACATTATTATTATGTTATTACTTTTCAAAACAGCTAAAAAGTATGTAGGTGGCGCCCTAATACTTTTTAGCCCCTACAAGTAGGAATCATACTGACATCGAAATCGATTTTGTCATATCGAAATGTGTGTTTTTTCAGACACTAATTTTCATCCAAATATCGGGGTTAGTTCAGAAATTATTTGGAACAAATCGAAATAAAAAAGAAACTCCTACACCCTGTAGCTCCGGAACGAAGCATTTTAGGATATAAATTTAGACGAACTTTTTTACTTATTTTTATCTGCAGAATATACTGCCGAAGATTTCCGAATACAATTCGAACCACCCAGTATAACCGAATCTTACTGAGTTATTTTTTTAAACAATTTTGAACAATTTGTATTTAAATTGATCACTTCAAAGCTTTTAAATTTTATTGAAAATATGTATTAGTAGTATAGCTGAAACGTTAAATAAAGTTTAAAATAGATTAAATGTTAAAAAACTTTAATACAGATCTAGATTATCATAGTCTACGGTTCTATGGTTGAAACTCTAGCGTTGCGATTGGTTGCGATATGCCAAATATCAAAAACATGAAAACATGATTTATACTATACAAATTAAACTTCAATTATTAAGGGATCCATTAATTAATAATAAAATTGGCACTAAAATGTAGATTTTCTGTGTTAACTTATGTGATATTGACATTTCTTTCTTATGCAAGGTTGTCTGAACTGTATTCTGGAAACTTCGGAAACATATTCTTCAGATAAAACTAAGAAAGAAAGTTCGTATAAAAGTATGTCTTAAAATGCTATGTTCCGGAGATACAGGGTGTTGAAGTTTCATTTTTAATTCGATTTTTTTCCAAATAATTTATGTAGTAACCTCAATATTTCGATGAAAATTCGTTTCTGGGAGTATTATGACATGGGAAGTTTGATTTTGATGTCAATATTACTCTTGCTTGTAGGGTGCCATCTACATGTTTTTAACTGGTTTGAAGCCTAATAACTTTTCGTCAGCATCAGTATAAAACCACTGTTTAATTAATAATTAATTTAAAAATTAAAAGTCCCCAGATTTACTATTTCAGTCAAATAACTATCTAGTCAACATATTTATTTTTTGTCAATAATGACATTTATTGATAATTTACATTTCAAATATATTGAGAACCGTTAGTCGTAGCTATTTTTAGTACAAGGCCCTTTTACTTAAAAACGGTGGACATGTATATTTTTTCACTAGGTTGTTTTATACAGGTATAGACGAAGAGTTATTACTCTTCAAACCAGTTAAAAAATGTGTAGATGGCGCCACTCCAAACAGGAGACATATTGACTGTACGTACGTATAGTGGACTGTATTAAATAAACTGTAATTTACTTTTCTACTCATTTTATTCGTTAAAAGCAAATACATACAATGAAAGATTGCGAGATGATTATGTGAACGTGTTTAACTGCAGCTGAATAGGCATGTTCGGTATTCCGGTATACCGGTACCAGGACCGGTACTTTTCAAATATTCCAATACCGGTATCGACTTTTTCACGATCGGTATACCGGTTTAGGTACCGATACCAGAAGACCGGAAGACCGGTTTTGATACCGGTACCGGAAGACCGGTTTAAATCGGTCCCAAAAGACCGGTTTCAATCGATACCGGAAGACTGATTTCAATTCCAAGCCAACTGGTCAGGAACATACAATGTTATTTATTTTGATGTATGTTTAAGGCATATGCTAGTTTAGTTTGGTTTAGTAATCTAGTTTTCTTTTTTTAGTTCATCTAAAATTCAAGTAAAGCTTTAACTCAAGTAAATCTTAAACTTAGACCGATATTCAATGGCGCTTACTCCATTATTTAAAATATGTAAAATAGCATCTTATTTCCGCTCCATTTATATCTACAAGAACAGCAGCTTCCAGTAGTTTTTTCCATTTTTCATAAGTAACGAGAATGTTGGACACGAAATCAAGAATAAGTCTGAAATGTGAACATAAACAACGAAAATCTAAAGTTATGGCGCATTCTCACGACTCGTGTACTTACCGGTATTCCTACCTTACCGGTATTCCTACCTTACCGGTATTACCTGTTCATCCGGTATTCCGGTCCCAACCGGTCTTCCGATACCAACCGGTCTTCCGGTCCCAACCGGTTTTCCGGTCCCAACCGGTCTTCCGGTCTAACCGGTATACCGGTTTAGGACCGGTACTTTGTAATGGGAACATGCCTACAGCTGAAGAGAGAGAGAGAGAGAGAGATAAACATATATTCTCGTTCACTGTTTCTTTTTCAAACTACAGTTGCTATACTATATTATTTGCATTTTACGTTCTATGGCGGAACATTGACATCGAAATCCCCAAATTTCTCATGTCAAAAAACTCCCACACACCAATTTTCATCCAAATATCATTAACAAAACTTCTACACCCCTCCACAAATTCTACACACATTTTTATTGGTAGAATGTATACTGCCGAAGTTTCCCGAATAATTCGGACCACCCTGCATATAAAAGAATTCTAAACATACAAAGTACTCGTGAATTGATTCAGATTTTCTATCTCTTCGAGTTAACTTTTTCAAACTACAATTGAAAGCCTAGAAAATTACGTAGGTATAATATTTTTTCATGACTTCAAGGGCAAAAGTGTCCTCACAATAATTTAAAATATTCACTCTTAGCTAAGGTGTGTTATACGCCAAATCAACATTGCAAATAAGGGGATAATTTACCATTTCAATGTGTCCTTTAAATACCTGTCTACAATTGCGTGTTCTTCAGTACATCTGAAAGTAAAAGTTATACCCACAGCATAGAATATATTATCTCATGAACATCTAATTTTCTATTCAAAATCATTTGTACTTTTGTCTATCTTAATATGTTAGATGTTAGTGACAATTAGGTTTATAAAACACGAAACGCCTTGTTCAATTATACAGTTTCCTTGAAAAGAATTTAGACAAGTTGTAGCCGCAGTTTTATTTACTTATTTAAATACCTATGTCTATTTAAAATCTTAATGAATACTAGTATTAAATTTTATTATTCACTTTTACTCATAATCATTAATAAGGATATAAACAGTATGATATACATTATATTAAC